GAAAATAACACTAATAAGAATAAAGTTAACAACAGTTATCATAGTTTAATCAACAATAAATATGATATTGATTATATTATCATTATCACCATTATAAATGATAACTTTATTATCATCATACCATCATCATTACTATTATTATATTTATATGTTATTATTATTACTGTTATTATTATTATTGCCATTATTATTATTGTTATTATTATTGTCATCATTACCATTATTAGCATTACTATTACCATAATAATAACAATGATTATTATCATCATTATTTTCCTTATCATTATTATCATTAATATTAGCATCATCTTCATTGCCATTGCAATTGCTTATCACCAATTTATCATTATTGTTTCCTCTAATTATCAGCATTACTATGATTATTTACATAATTACCATCAAGATCATCCATAGTTTCAATAGTTTTCTTGCTATTTCTTCCCCATAAAAGTCTTTCTTGATCCTTCTTTATGAGCCTCTTCTTAACGAAAGACAAACTATGACAAAACACCATTACAATAAGAAATTATCTTCCTTCACATAAATTGCCGAGGTTTCAATTTCCCGATTTTCCTGGAAGGAGCGAATTCCAAGGAAGGAAAAACAGACGAAGGAAGCGTGTATGTGGAGGGGAAACGAAGGAAAATATTTGGCAAACGTGATAGGAAAGTTCAAAATGTATCTCCCGATAATCTTTTCATGTGAAGTTATATATATATATATATATATATATATATATATATATATATATATATATGTATATATATATATATATATATGTATATATATATATATATATATATGTGTGTGTGTGTGTGTGTGTGTGTGTGTTTGTATACATACATACATACATATATATATATATATATATATATATATATATATATATATATATATACACACACACGCACACACACATTTATATATATATATATATATATATATATATATATATATATATATCCATATATATCCATATATACATATATATACAAATATATACATATATATGACGAATAATGACGAAGAAATCAGTCTAACACGAAAGTAAAATTTTATCAATAGAAAAGCATTATCTTTAGCAAAAAGAAAAGAAAAGAAAATAATACAGATTTTAATACTTAACTCAAAAGATAATATTCACAACAAAAGATAATGCTTAACACAAAAGATAATACTTAACACAAAAGATAATACTTCATACGAAACGTAATGTTTAATGTAAAAATGATATTTTCATTTGGTATAGAACGTAAATTCCTTGTCTTTTCTTTCCATATCAACGCCAATTATTCGAAACGAACTTCGAGTCTCGGTTCATTCGCATCGACAAGGATTTTGAAGTAAAGCTTGATACACATTCATGCATATTTGCTTTTCTTCCCTCTTCTTTTTATCAGTGTGTGTGTGTCTTTTTGTCTGTCTGTTTGTCTCTTTCTCTCTCTCTCTACCGATCTATGGCTATCTATCTATTAATATCCATCTATACTCTATATTTCAACTGGTTTTAAAGGATGTCTATGTATCTATCTATCTACATGGATCTGTCAATCTATACTGTTTATCCTGATTCAGTTTTATAGGATATCTCTCTATCTGTGCGTATCTATTTGCTCTGTACATATTGAAATCAGATGTAAAAAATGTTAAAGAAAGCCTTATTTTTGTCTTTGGTTTTGAAGTCGAGTCTCGAAAGTGCTCCGTGCTGAATTTATGCTTCCCGAGGCATACGCAGATCGGTAATGCCACGGGGGAGGGCGGGGGACATCGAGGCATCATCTCGCTTGGGTTCGAAGCCGTTCTTCTGGGCATAAAAAAAGATGAAAAGCACGATAATTCGCCAGGAAACTCTACTTTGCAGCTGCTGTTCTTGACTCGCAGGGTAATTCCGAAATGCTGGTAGTCCTGGGAGAGATTCTATAGCGAATGTTATCCGTATATGTATGTGCAGGTGTACGTAAACATCAATACAAGCATTAAGACAACACACACAGATACACACATTATATGTATACATACACATATGTACGTATATACATGTATATATTTATACATGTTTGTATATACAGATACATATATATTTACGTATATACCTATATACATATACATATATATTTACGTATATACCTATATACATATATATATATATATATATATATATATATATATATGTATACCTATATACATATATATATATATATATATATATATATATATATATATATATATATATATGTACATATGTATATTTATATACTTATATATCATATACACATATATGTGTATATATAAGATATACATATATATTCATCTACACATATATATTTGTGTCTAAGTGTATATATGTGTACACAAACATACACACACACATATATACATATACACATACTATATATATGTATATATATATATATATATATATATATATATATACATATATACATATATATATATAATATACATATATGTATATATATATATATATATATATATGAATATA